CTCCAGTGCGCAGCCGATGGGTAGCACCTACGTTGCGGCGTTCGGCAGCCGGCTCAGTGGACGGAGGGCACGCGGCGGATTCTCTTGTCGATCGAAATCGAGATGATAGCTGGAGGGAATGCTTTATTGCGTGCAATGTGAGAGAAGAAGAAAAAACGGCTTGTAATGCAATGTGGTATTGCGGATGGAGTTCGAGGAGACAAATTGCTGGAGTCGACTAAACGTCTTCATCCCAGAGGTAGCCAAGAAATCCAGAACCATGTGGCTTAAGTTTCGTTGCTTATGACTTTTCCATTCTGAACGTCATGACCTTTATTATTTATAAAGGTGTTTACTAAGTTACATAACAGTGTATGCTTCCACAATTACGTAGTGACATAGGAATGTTTTCTTGGAACGTCTTTATATATGATGAGAAAATCAACAGATCTTAATGTTGTCTCCTAACCGATCATTTATAATGTTCCTTCCAATGTGAATTCTATTCAGAAAACATGAAATATCATGGTCTCGTGCAGTATACTACGAATAGATAAGCTGAAGGAACATTAACTCGATAATGGCCGTAGACAGCATTTCATTGTTTTGTGTAGTCCAGCGTTTTTAGTACCCCTGTATTCTGATTTAAAGCGGCACATTTTGGGTGTACAATAACACAAAATACTCATTCAATTGAAGGTATGAATTGCTTTATCATTAGAATTAATTTTTAATGTCCAAGTTTCTCTACATTAAATGCATGACAACTGAGGAAGAGAAGGCTATTCTTACGTTTACTACTTTTGGGACAGCTTGGGGTCAACGCTGACCTGACTCCCGGCGATGCGGGATCGTATACGCGCTAGGCCCATGCCAACGCTTTGCGGCCGCGTGTACAACCCTGCCAAAAAACATGGACTTGCATTTCGCGAGGGCCGGGTCTCAGGGTCAACGCTCGGCTGCTGTAGCAATCGCCGCCCGCCGAGGATTTCTCCAACCGAAACCCGAGGTCTAAAAACCGCGCTCGCCGCTTGTAAAGCGCTCCTCTGACGTGTTGGTAGGTTTTTCTAACATCTTTTCCTCCGGCTGACAACACTTGTCGTCACTTCCCCTTCGCGTGTTTTCAAGTTATTGACTGTAATTGTTACAGCTGCAATAAGAGTTGGTCTGTATTTCGGTGGTACAGAAAATTGCATGTCTCAGAATGCGTTCCCATCGCGGAGTACACTCTCTGCACTTCGATTCAAAAAAGAGACAAAGAAGAACTTGCTTTCTTGCCTCCGATCGTGGTAATCTGCAGGCAGGCTAAATGGCCGGATTTGCAGGATGTTTTATGAAAACCAGACTTGATCGATGTTCTTACTGAATGCATTTACTTATGATAGTCTCGAAAGTGCAATTCGTTGCACTCGATTACTTCCAGAACAGGAAGCAACACGTAATTTTATAATTTGGTGGGAAACGAGGGCTGAATTCACAAGCAAGGGCGAAAGTATTGAAGCACACGTACGTACGCACACTAGCGTAAAGAAACCTGATCTGCGTTTTATGCTCGCCACCGCCTCATTCTCGAGACACTGCTGCTGAGTTAGCACTGTGATTATCGTGATTGTTGAGAGAAAATTTCAGCCTAAATAGACAGGACTATTAATTTTTAGGTTTGAAAAGCGAATGATTGTAAACAATATTTCAATGTTATCAACCTTGAAAATAACGCTGGCGAAATGTACTTCTCATTTTTAAAATCGACAAACGTATGAACACTTGATGTAAGGTCAGGAAAATACTAGTCAACTCTGGAACATTACATTTTGAGTATATAACAAAGGATACTGTTCAGAAAAGATTTGAAATGTCTCACTGAGATTGGTGTGCAAATACAGTAAATTGAAGTAGAGGAGTTTTGTCATGGGGTGACGTGAAAACTTGGTTTACAGTTAGACCTGAGGCTAGATAATTTCGTAGTAACCACGTCCGCTTTCTTCATACTAAGAGATCTACGTTTAGTAATGATTAGTGAACTAAATGTTGGATTATTATTGCTAGTCGTACTTTTCCTTTATGAATCTCTGTCATTTTTGTATTATATCTTAATAAATGTTCATTAACTAATATACTGCCTAATTTCTTACCTCCCTCTTGTGATATTGTATTTATTGTTATATTTTATATTTACATTACATTTCGACGTTAATTTATTATTCTGATCCTTTTAGTACAATATGCTACTCTGATTTTCACTGTTTGGAAGATGCTGCATCCTATTCAATGTTTTGGCCCCTGACAATAGAAATGGACCGCGCAATTTTGTTTCCGTCGTAGCAACGACTCCTTGACACGATCTTTCTGCTGTCCGGTCGGTGACTGTTCCGTTTTCTGGAGGTGATGGATAAGTTTTGAGTCAAGAACTGGGTTGTGTGTTTTCTGATTTTCGAGCTTTCCCGAACATTAGTTTGAGACGTACTGGTCCCCATTATCTTCTTCTCATATCTGCCAATGAAAAAACAAATCACGAAAAAATACGCTTTTGTTGCATTTTGCTTAATTTTCGCTTCAAATAAATAATAGTAAGGTCAGTGAAGTAGCTCTGGCGATTTGTTAGTAATAGGGACTTAACGAACTGTTATGGGACGAAATAGTTTGGGGTTAATTATTTTTGTTAGTACATTTTCTGCCTTGTCAAATTACATTTTGTTCATTAAAAAATTAGTATACTGGTTTCATTATTATTAATAATCATAACATTAATATAAAGTATTAAAACAATTTTGTATATTACTATGTTTTTATAAGGCCTTATTTCGTAATTTCATGAATTTATAGACACAGGCTTTGAATTGAATTTCACACTACTTCCAAAGCTTACAATTGCTATTACTTTCTCAAAAGTCAACGAACGCGATGTGCAGTCCCCTCCAGAGCGGCCGGGCTGTGAACCCTAGTCGCCAAAGAGGCGAGCGAGTGAGTGCGCGGGCGGCGCGCCTCCGGCGGGGAGGCGGTGGCCATCTTGCACGCTACTCCGGCGCGCGTCACGTGCGAATTGGGCCGCGTGCGCCACGCTGCCCGGCACACCTGCACGGGGCAGGGGCCACGCAGTGGGCCCAAACCATGCCCCAAGCACATGGCGCACAAGCTGTTGCCAGGCTTTACCACGCAAGCATAGCAAAGAGACGTTTTTAAATGCGTTAGGTATGATTTAACAAATGGAACATGTTCTGTTCGCTGTTGATTTTTTCAACTAGTACTATTGAGGTTTGGAGGTACAGAGATATTTGGATGTACTCGTCTTACAGAAGTGTTTTCATTGATACCCAGTCGCTCATGAGTTCGCTTTTCTGTATTTTTATGTTGGTGTGCAGTTTTTCGTGCCTAACTTTAAATCATTCTTTTGTTGCACATGACATCAATTAGAAATTTCAATATTTCTTGTCTTACATCAGGGTAATAGTCTTAAGTAATTTATCATTATACTCTTTAGTATTTTAATGAATTGTAAAATGACGGCACTTTAAGCTGCAAATATTTACGTTATTTCCAGTTCGGTCTCATGAAAGCTTCCACACCTCAGTTTGTTCAATCATCGTTTAGACACTAGGCTAGGTGTCTGTTGGTCCCGCCAGGCATTGTATTGCTGGAAATACTTTCATTGGCACAACAAGGTCTTTCAGCATCACCACCTCCTGTTAGATTTCATATTTGCCGACAGGAACAGCCTCAATGACATCTGTTTTATTTTCCACTCTTAGATTTATATTTATTTAGTCAAAAAGCAGTAAAAACTGATTATACGTATGGGGAAAAAGATTATCACCCTCATTCGAATTTGATGACGACAACCAACCGGGGTTTGTGACGTCATTGGGGGTGAAATGTTCTCTTTATTGCCTTTTTCGACCCGCGCGTTCCTTGGCTCATTTGGGCCCAGTGTGGGCCGTCCTTGGAGCGGCTAATTACGCGCGTGTATCACGCCTGGCAGCAGCAGCGGCGGCGGCGGCGACCGGGCGGCTCAGGCCGCAGGTGGCCCACCGGAAATCGAGCGTCGCAGCTTGCGACCCCCCCCCCTCAATGCCCGCCCCTCCCTTCGTTGTCTGACGCCAGGGAAATGAGGCTTTCCCGGCCCCTGTCGTGTCCCCTTCCTCAGGCCTCGCCCCGCCCCCTTGTGCGACCCCCAAACGACCTCGCGGACGTCGTTTCCGCACGCGGAGGGGATTTGGGGCTTGCGGTTTGCGCAATAGCACTAGGACGCGAGCGCCATATCTAGGGTGCTTCTTATATTGCTTGCGATAGGCTCTTTTCGTTTCAGTTTGAGAATACTACAAATGGTATTGTATTGTTTGTAATAGACACGTGAAAGAGTGTGAGTTTTACTGTGCCCTCAGTGTCTCTTACCACTCATGTAAGCGTAATCATCATTTTTTTTTTCTTTCTGTATAATATCTATCTTCATCAATGTCTTTTACGTCAACGCTTTTAAAGTTGATTTAGTAACCTCTAAGATGTTTGTGCTGTTTTACTTATTTATATTTATTATTTAACTCCCGACCCTACAACGAAATTTATTAAAATAGTTTGCAGAACATTTATCACCAGATCGATTTATACCACAATATTCACCATAACGTTACATTATTGTCGTTTTTTGGGATTTTGAAAGATAGGAAATGCATCACTTGAATGTCATTGCGTGGAAGGAAATATTGTTGAAGGTGATTTAAAATGGAACTTCTGTTAATGGGCAAGTACAGCCCCGAAGAAGGAAATTGCTATTGTATCCACCTGAATAAGTAATAGTAATTTAGTATTAGAAACTATCAGATATCACTCCTCCTGTGCAATGGTACTTTTCTGTTCTGACGTACTTCGTGAATATTGTGTTCATTTTCATCTGTCAGAAACGACGTTGATACAATAAATGCAGCTTTGTTCACCAAACACAAAGCCCGTTTGGTTGTGCAACTGTTAATTTTGCGCCGAGCAGCGCAGTTGCGTGAGCTGAAAGTCGCCTTTTTCCTTTGTTCCAGGTGAGTGCTGACGGTCAGCACGGGCGAGCAGGAGCTATGGCAGTAGCCTCTCTGTGGTAAGTGACGTGAATGGAGAGCCTTTCCCCCTCGACTGGCGCGTGGCGCGGGGCTGTTCTCGCCTCCTTGAAGTTGCTCTCGCGGCGCGCGTGCGCTCTAACCTAGTAACACTTTCGAGTTGGCGGCGAACTCTCGTCAAGTTGGCGGAGAAGTTATGACCTCTTACAACTTCTTCGGAACTTCCGACTGAAAGTTTTCGGTTTCTTTTTCGCCCCTTTTGTCTATTGTAAGGACGCGCGCTCTAGCCGCGGCCTTACCTGTGGCGTTCTTCCTTATTCATT